GGAAGGAAGACTGGGAAAGGAGAGAGAAAAAGAAGGGACCGCACCTGGTGTCTTTGAGTGTGGAGACTTCAGCATTGACGCTGGAAAGTTTCTGCTTCAGGATCCACAACGTCCAAGTCAGGAGGACGGAATTGATCTACAAAGTCAAGCAAAAGGGACTGAGGGATTGGATACACAAACTGTCACGAGAAAAAAATAAAATGGAACAAGCATTACTAAAGAGAAACTTAAAAATAGATTCCGGAGGCTATGAGGGAAGTGGGGCCTCTGTACAACTTGTGCCACAGTTCTCAGAGCTGCTATTAAGTTGCTAACCTGTTGCTAAACTCAGCTCAAGGCCTAGCCATAAACACCCTGGAACAACATAGGGAAACTCCTAGTTTCACCACCTCCTTTGTTATTGAAACGAACCAAGTCTGGAAAGACTTACATTCTGAGGTTTTTGCCTTTATAGACCCTGCCTCTCTTTGTTCTCCCAATTTAGGTTGATATCTAAATAATCTGTGTCTCCAGGGCGGCAGCTCCTTTTGCTCAAATAAATGCTTTTCATTCTTCGTCACAGTCCACATTTAATTTTGGTTGGTAAAACAGACAATGGCCAAGCCATCTTTCAAAATGGAACTCTGGCCCAGTCTTCGGTAACCACTCCAAGAAGCCCAACAATAACGCCTGTAGCCACTGACTCAAATCAACCAGGACTCGGTTAATAATTGACAGCTTCCCTAATTTCTGCCCTTGATTCCAATTTAGGACGCAAAGTAGAAAGCCAGGGTGTGCCCATAGCCCACCTATAGGATCCCCATGCTCACAGCCTCTGATCGGGGCACTCCTGGGGCTTCCCTTTTTACTTCTATCCAGCTTTCCCTCCTCGGCCTGCTTTTGAAACCAACGAATTGGTGATCTGACTCCCTTACTATAGCAATCTCTGGATAAATAGCCTTTGCTGTTCTCATCTGAGTGATCTTTATGTATTTCCACTCGATGCATCTGGGAAGTTAGACTCAAGACAGATGCCCTGTTATGGGTTGAACTGCACCCCACCCCCAAAGATATGCTGAAGTCCTAATCCCCGACACCTCAGATCTCATTTGGAGATCTGGTCTTTGCCGAGGTGATCAAATGAAGATGGGGTCAGTAGAGTGGGCCCTAATCCACTATAACTGGTATCCTTATAAGAGGAGGCGATTAGCCACAAAGAGACAGACATGCACTGCAGGTGACGATGTGAGAGCATAGGAAGCAGGCAGACATCTCCAGGCCAAGAAACGCCTGAGGCTACCAGTAGTTGGAGAGAAAACTGGAACAGATCCTTCCCCAAGGCCTCAGAGGGAGCATGGCCCAGCCAACTCCTTGATTTCAGATGTCTAGCCTGCCTCCAGCACTGACACAATAAAACCCCATTGTTCTAAGCTACCCAGCTTGTGATATTTTGTTCTGGCAGCTCTAGAAGACTAATACATGACCTGAAAAATCTGATAGGGGTCAGAGCAAAACCCTTTGGAGGAATACGGCTACTTGGAGAGAAAACTGGAACAGATCCTTCCCCAAGGCCTTCAGAGGGAGCGTGGCCCAGCCAACTCCTTGATTTCAGATGTCTAGCCTGCCTCCAGCACTGACACAATAAAACCCCATTGTTCTAAGCTACCCAGTTTGTGATATTTTGTTCTGGCAGTTCCAGAAGACTAATACATGGCCCTGGAAAATATGATAGGGGTCAGAGCAAAACCCTCTGGAGGAATACAGCTATAAGAATTCCCAAGATTGCGATTGGTCAAATATGAGCTCATAACAAACAATGACAAGCGACACAAGGAAACAAGCCACCAGGAGCGAGATGATCGTCTTGCAAGACTGCAGAATCCGGGTGGAGTCAAGGAGGCAAGAGGTGGTTGTTGCTCAGCCTCCCTCGGATCCCGGCGATTGGTCAAATATGAGCTCATAACTAACAATGACAAGCGACACAAGGAAACAAGCCACCAGGAGTGAGAAAGATCATCTTGTAAGACTGTAGAATCCGGGTGGAGTCAAGGAGGCAAGAGATGGTTGTTGCTTAGCCTCCCTCAGATCCCAGGATTGCAGGATTGCCGGGGATGTGGGGAAGGAAATTGTTGGGAGGGGGTGTTGGGCTAAGGTTACAAAGTTTCACTGATGCAAGTGAGGAATTGCCCAGATCTAATCTACAGCATGGTGACTGTAGTTAACAATATTGTGTTATATTCCTAGAATTTACTAAAAGAGTAGTCTTAAATGTTCTTACCTGCTATTTTCAACAACATGGGTAGATCTTGAGGGTTATTAGACTAATGAAATAAGTCACACAGAAAAGGAAAAATGCCTATGATTTTACTCATCCTATATAATAAAGAGCTAATATGCTAATTAGATCAAACAGCAGAACAACCATCCAGACAACCTTCCTCCGGATGAAGCCGGGGCTGCGAGGGCTGAGCCACTTGCATGAATTTCGTGCATTGGGCCTCTAGTAGGTAGAATATAAAACAAGAGTAACCAACCAGCAAACAAACAAAAACAAACTCTATGATAACAGAACGGTAGTTACCAGAGAGTAAGAAGTGTGGGAGGGAGAGCAAATTGGGTAAAGGGGGACAAATCCATGGTCATGAAAAGAAACTAGACTTTTGTTGGTGAGCATGCAATAGAGTACACCCAATGTCAGGTTATAATAATACACCTGAACTTCATATATAGAACAACCAATGTGAGGGCAACAAATTTAACTTAAAAAAGGGAAAAAATGGTAACTATGTGAGGTGGTAGAAATGTTAGTTACCTTGATGGAGGTGATCATTTTACAAGATATACATAAGTCAAAATTTCAAGTTGTTCACCATAAACTTATAGTTTTTATGCCAATTATACTTCAATAAAGCTGAGAAAAACCCTCTACCTTTTCTTTCATTCAACACCTGTGCTCCGAAGAGATTAATAGACCCATTTTACTGAAATGCAAAGGACAAAGAAGACTGTAGTCCCTCCGGAGGTGATCATTTTACAAGATATACATAAGTCAAAATTTCAAGTTGTTCACCATAAACTTATAGTTTTTATGCCAATTATACTTCAATAAAGCTGAGAAAAACCCTCTACCTTTTCTTTCATTCAACACCTGTGCTCCGAAGAGATTAATAGACCCATTTTACTGAAACGCAAAGGACAAAGGAGACTGTGGTCCCTCCCAGGGGTTGACATGCTGCATTAAAAAAAAATCACGAGTTGAAGATATTACATTCCAACTTGGAAATCTCAAGAATCAAGGATCAGAAGGGAGAGGAATACGTGACCTCAGCTCTGCAACCTCCACTGGCCCCTCGGTTCAGGCCCCTCCTCCAGAACCCACAGCACCAAGCAATTTGCTTACCAGTATGATTGTGCAAACCGGCCCCAGGAAACTCCAGATAAACCCTGTCTCGGTATTCAACCAGCAGCTGTGGAGAGAAACAGGAGGAGGAATCAGTGCTTACCTCAGTCTTGCCCTTCAGGTTAACTACTCCAGCCCCGCCCAGTGCAGAAAATTGGGAGATGAGACGGAGATTAAAAAGTATCTCATGATGGGGCAGGTGGCATTTCAGTTTTCTTTGGACTCTAGCAAGTCCTCTTTCTGACCTTCTTCCTGACTAAATGTTCCTGAAATGTTCACCTCATGCCGTGGGGAGAGGCCATTCTCAATGCGCAACCCTTGTCATCCCTTTCCCCTCTTTTCAGGACTCTCCTTGGTGCACCTTGTCATTCAAATGTCAGCTCAAACATCACCTCCTCTGAGAAGCCACTCCTGACTGTTCCTTACTAAGTACACTGTCCCTACTCCCGGTCCCGCTCTGGCAAAGCTTGCTGCCTTTTCTTATGGCATCTTCTAGTATTTGGATCATAAGATCATGTTCAGCTTGTTGACTGGCCGATTGCCCGTCTTCCCCTACTAGACCATGAGCTGCTTGAGAATTTAGACCTTGAATGTTTGTTCACCTCTGAATACCCAGAGCTGCTATGGACACGGCATTCCATAACTATTTGTTGAAAGAAAGGATCTTGCCATTTGCAGCAACACGGATGAAACCTGAGGGCATTATACTAAGTGAGATAAGTCAGACAGAGAACGATGAATGACGTCACTTATATGTGGAATCTTAAGGGGGAAACAACAAGCTCACAGATACAGAGAACAGGTAGGTGGTTGCCAGAGGGTGGGGACAGGAGAAATGGGTGAAGGAGGTCAAAAGAGGCAAGCTTTCAGTTATAAAATTAACTAGTCCTGGGAGGTAGTGTATAGCATGGTGACTGTAGTTCATAATGTTGTCTATTTTAAAATTGCTAGAAGGGTACATGTTAAAAGTTCTCCTCACAAGTAAAAAGTGTGTAACTATGCGAGGGGATGGGTGTTAACTAGATTACTGTGGTGATCATTTCACAATCTATAGAAATCTTTTATCTCTATGCTGTCTTTATTAAATATGCACCTCAACACTCAAAACATAAACCACGCGTTACAACATGAGAGCATACTACGCTTTTCTGGTTTACAAATGACATCTACACATTCTCTGGAAACATACTGACATGATACTCCAAATGTATGTTGGATTTCCAAAACCCACCCACTTCCAGTGTGTATACCACATGCATATGTTGGATTGCATCCTGTGCTGTAATGACGGGCAGTCTAGTTCCTGGAATCCGGGGAAATCTGGTCTATTAGGCAATTGATTGCTATGACCACTGGCAAATATAAGACGTTCAGGTTACTTGGGGTTGTATGAGCTGTAAGAGAACATTCCATTTTGTTCACAGTGATCCATATGGGGTATGACAGATAATTAGGGAATCAGAGTTTATAATATACTTCTATTAGATAAAGCCCTTTTAATCACTTCCTTCAATCTCCTGAATTACTCCATAGTAGCAATAATTGTTTTATATGATTTCCTCTGAATGGTCAATTAGCAGTGATACGCCTGTCTCCCATTTTCCCTAGCAATAGCACAAACACAGTCATTCAATTAAATTTATCTTTCCTTTTGAAACTCTACAGAGAGATTGGGGGATGTGAGACTGTCGCATCCTCAGCAGTTTTGGTGGTCGACTGGCTTTAGTCTTGGGCAAAGTGGGGACGAGCGGTCTCCTTTGCTCTTTCATCTCCCTGTGCCCTGCAAAGCTAACTCTTCCCAGAAAACCTGGGGAGTGCCAAGTAGCTTTTGATGAATGCAAGGTTGGCTTTACTAAATATGTGTATGGCTTTTCCTGCTATGAACTGGTCACTGTATAATTGCGTGCAGTGAACGGACAACTGTGTGGACCGTTAGAGGTCAGGCAAAGTTTCGAAACCTTTCCATTTTCCGAGATAATTGCTTATGCCTCCCGTGGCTGCGTAGGGAGCTCTCTGTTGAGTTTAATAACACAGAGGAATAGCTTGGCTTTCTGTGGCGGATTATGCTGCTCTTTAGAAGCGCATTTATGAAGGTATGGCCCAGGCTATGGGGAGATGGACAGATTCTTTCTGGAACAAAAACATCCATCATTCAAAATTATTATCTATATGTAAAAATGTGCATGGTTTTATTTGATTCTGGCTGAGGTTTTTAATGTCCTTCTTGGAGATTCCAGGGAAAATTGCACTTAAATAGTAGAGGAAGGGAATACGCTTGCTCTCTCCTGCTCTTATAAAAAAAAAAACAACACCAAAAACATCTCTATGAGAAAAACAAGTGTGGTGTTTGTCCCAGTCTGCTTTTTCTTCACTTCATGTTCTTTGTCCTCATGGGTTGTAAAGTAAGCAAAAGCAGGGAACTGAAAAAAGGGTTATGTGGTCATAGGAACCTTAACAAAACGCCAACCTAGTGATAGGACACGGGGACTTTGTTAGAGGGCAGGTTTTCTATGGCTCTAAACTTGGTCTCCTCAAACAATAGAGCTCTACCGTCCTGGTAGTCAAGTTTGACAACCACGTGGTCTTTCCTGGCACTGAGTCTCCAGTAGCAGAAAAATAAAGGCAGGAAAATGTTTGTAACCTGAGAAGAGGCCGTTCACACCCTGTCAGGAAAGACCACTTATGCAAATACTGGCTATTTCCCTATCGGTGCTGCTTCTCTGCCGCGGGCCTCAGGGCATCAGATTAAAAGCGCTGGAGGCTGTTCTCCCGGGAGCAGCCCCCACCCAGGGCTCATGGGAGGGAGTTGGTGGGTGAATATGCTGGTTCCCTCACCCTCGGGTGGGATAATGGTGGTGCACACGCTGCATGGTCTCCTCTTGTTGCCTTTGGTACTGAACCCGGTGACCCACAGCAGGACCTATGTGCGGTCCTTCTCCTCCCGGTCTCACTTCCCCACCCCCTTCCTAGTGCTCCCTGAGATCATCTCAAATCCTTGTCAATGATGCCTTCCTTCCCCAAACTTTCCCAGGCCACCTACAGGTGTTGTCCAAATTCCATGCCCACCCCAGTCTCCCCCAGCCTTCTCCCAGCCCAGTCCATCTGTTCTTCAAACACACCTCAAGCTCTCCCCCGTGGGCAAACTTTCGTCCTCATCCATGTTGCTACCCCCTTTCCTCTTTGCTGCGTACCTTCCTTCCGGCAGAGCTTTTAAGACCCAGATCCTGCCTCCTCCAGGAAGCCTTCCCTGAACTTTCCAGCTTTCAGTGCCATCAGCTTCTGGTCTGTGCAGGGGCTTATCCTACCTGCTCCAGCAGGAGGCACTTCCTCGTGGCAGCCTTGCATGGTCACCATCTCCTGACAGAACAGTCAGGCCTGCACTCAGTTTGGACACTTCCTAGTTATGTGACCCGGGCAATCTCTGCAGCTGTCCTGAGCCCCGATTTCCTCGGCAGCTACCACTTATTAAGCTGTTACTCTATGTACGTGTGGTCTCGGGCGGCCTTGCACAGCAGCACAGGTTGTGCACTATAAAACCCAGGGTACGATGTATTCTGTACATGATGGAGACCCTTAGATTTTCACAGGATGTTTGTTGGGAAGCACCAGAGGTAATAGGGTTGCAAAGCTGATGGGGCTTAGGCTATGATGGGTGCTCACTGAGTATGAACTCCTTTTCCTCCTCCCTTATCCTGCGACCTCATCTGAAGTAGGAACCATCATCAGGCAGGGAGGAAACCCGGATCACTGAACCCCCAAACACGGCTCAGCAGAGCGCCTACAGCACGGGGTGATAAGCAGAGACCCCGGGATTGGAAAGACCCAGATCCAGGTCCTCACACGCCCGCCTCTCACTGTCCTGGGGGGAAGGTTTTCTGAGCGCGTGTCCTCGCCTCTAAATTAAAGGAGCAGCACTGCCCCAGGGCCTGTCGGAGAACTAAAGGGAATAACAGGGCGAGTTACTGTACCTGCCCTGTCCACCTACTCCTTGTCCTAGAATTCACCTGATTTTTTCCTCAAAGTAGGCTCTGTCTTTACTTACACAAATTGTGTCTGTGAAATCATGAGTTTGGTATTCTGGCCATTTTTTTTCTAATTACCTACAAAATAAATACTATTTAAAAGGAGTACTTACCAGCATACTGCCTAAAATGACCTCGAATAGAAACGTGGTAAACACACCTCACTTAAAACAGACAACATCGTAACAGTGATGCTAACTGCGACATGAATAATGCTTGACTCTGTGCCAGACCCTGTTTTAGGTGTTTTGCAGATAATAACTCGTTTAACCTTCACAGCAGCACCATGATGTCAGCACTGCTATTCGCCCCCACTGTACAGGTGAGGACATGGAGGCACAGGTAGGAGGTAGTGGAGCCAAAACTCAAACCCAAGAAGGTTGGCTCCAGAGTCCATGATTTTAAAACTGCACAACCACGCCCTGATCGGTGGCTCCGTTGGTTGGAGCATCATCCCATACACCAAAAGGCTGCAGGTTCGATCCCAGGTCAGGGCACATCCCTAGCTTGTGGGTTCGATCCCTGGTCGGGGCGTGTATGGGAGGCAATTGATTGCTCTCTCTCTCTCACATCAATGTGCTCTCCCCCCCCTCCCGCCCTCTTTCTCTCTCTCTAAAATCAATTTAAAAAACTATCCTCAGGTTAGAATTAAAACAAAACTGTACAGTCAAGTCCACTGTTTACATCACCGCCTTTTACCTAGACTCCAGCGCTACCAGGAGCTCCTGGATTCATGCCTGCGCAACCTGTGCTGCTGTGCACGGCAGCCCGAGAGCACCGGTGTACAAAAAACTCACTGAACGGTAGCCACGCTCCTATCATGTCCTTGCTCTTCTTGTGGTTCATGTCATTATCACCATGAACCCTGGCAGCAGGGCCTTCAGGGACGGGGGGATGCCACTTACCGATTATGCATCCCGTAGCCCTGCGGCTGCACGCTGGCCGAGACAACCACCACCAGCCCTGGGAGCCCGTAGCCAAAGGCACAGAGATACTGCATCTTGACGTTGCGGGAGTTGAAGTAATTCACCACCTTGAGGTTCCTGACCATGAGGAAGAGCATCACGGCCTCCACCAGCATCCAGAAGAAGCAGGCGAGGAAGAGGTAGTGCAGCAAGCCCGCGATGATGGCACAGCCTATCTGAAAGGAGAAGCGTGTGCTCTCAGGACTCCCTGCCTCTCCCAAGGGCCAGGTTCAGAGGATGAGGGCAGGAGAGGGACTACTTTGCGGGCATTCCCCAAACACAGCCCATTCCCTGATTCATTCATTCATTCATTCATTTCACAAATATTTATGAGAGAGTCTCCATCAGGGGCTGCGCCCTCCCTGAGGTAGGGTGACCACTCGTCCTGGTTTGCCTGGGACTGAGTTTTCCAAGGACATTGGACTGTCGATGCTAACCCTGGGAGCATTTGGGGGTAAAAACGGGTAGATGTTCACCCTACTTTAGGAGATGACTGAAGATATGGGGGTGGGGAGGGGAGGTTCACGAACTGTAGCCACTGGACTGGCTGCCTGTTTTATAAATAACGTTTCATGGGCACACAGCCACACCCATGGATGTATCCTCTGTGGCTGTTTTCAGACCAAAACAGCAGATTTGAGTAGTTGCAGCAGAAATCGTAGGATCCGTAAAGCCGACTGGATCCTATCTGGGTCTATAGAAGCTTGCCCAATGCTGGCCTCATGGTGGGAGTGGGGTGCAACTACCAGCATTTAGTTCCCAAAGGGACTGGGCAGCCAAGCATCCCGCAGGGAGAGGAGTGGCTCTGCACAAGGAATGGTCCATAGTGCTGCTTCGGGGAAAACCCTGAGAGCCTCCTGTATTTCGGGCACAGTTCTGGGGATCAACGGGCCCCAGTTCTTGCTCTCACAGGGCACACAGTCTACTGGCAAAAGTAGATACACAATAAAATGATAAATAATGGTTTCAAGTAAGAGCTGGGAAGGAATGCAACATGGAGTGGTAAGCTGAGTTTCCCAGCTGTTGCTGTATTGACAGCTGTAATGCTGTTGCCAGGTTATTTTCTGTCTTGGGGGGGGGCTGTCCTGTGTGTGGCAGCATCCCTGGCCTCTGCCCACGAGATGCCAGTGGTACCCTCTCCCAGTGGTGACAGTCAATAATGTCTCCAGATAGTGCTAAGTGTCCTCCAAGGGGGCAGAATCAGCCCAGGCGAGAACCCATGGTTTAAAGAGTAAGAGGAGGGACCGTCCGCCACAATATATAATATGATCAGGGGGATGATTTTAAACTGAGACCAATTATAAGGAGTCAACCAGATGAGGTACTGGAGGATGAGTACTATGAAGAGGGCATAGCATGTGCAAAGGTCGTGAGGCGGGAACTACTACAGAGGGAGTTGGGTAGGGATGAGCAGAGGCAGATGTGGAGATCATGGGGCTGGATGGGGCCATAGCCTGAGGGATGTGAGACCTGGTTGTCGGTCTTGTCTACACCGGTGAGGAAGAGAAACTTGGCCAAGAAGAGGCACACGCAGAGGTGCAGGTGGAGGTAGGTGTTGCGGTTGCGGATGGCACGACACAGCAGGAAAGTGGCGATGGCCAAGAGGAGACACACCAGGGAGATGATCATGCCCACGTGGCTAATGACGTACAAGGAGAAATCCATCTGTCAGGAAAAAGATACTCCACTCAGACAGAGAAACATTCTCCTGGGCAGGAAAAGGAATGATACAGACTCCTGACTTGGGCAGAAAGAGCTTGGGGAACTTCTCTTCCTCTGACATCAGAGTAAACTAGCTATTGTCCATCGTCATTCTTTGGCATCTATAAGCATCCGTCAGCACCCATTCCCACCCTGTCCCATACCCCACCCACATATTACTAGGGCAGGTTGTCTACAAACTACACTTCCCAGAATCTCTTGGGGCTAAGGTCCTGGATGTCACTCAGGTTCTCCCATGCGATGCCTGCATGGAAGTCTGCGAAGACAGATACCAGCTTTCTGCAGTCAGGAGTGAGCTGTGGCTGGACACCACATTCCAACTGTCCAGTTTTTAATTCCAATGGATGGGGAGAAGCCTGACAGCAGTCATTTTTATCTTCTGATTGCAGCGGCAGAGGGGTGATCCTAAAGCCAAAATCCAAGTGGCAGCTCCCTGACTTCAACTGCTCCATCCCTTCCCGGGAGCACCCAGGTCCCTGTGTTCAATCCCCTGCTGCTTGAAATACCTAGAGGGGTTCCTACTTCCTGCACTGAACCAGGACTGATGCATACATGTTCAGAGATGCCAGCTTCCGGGAGTGGAAATGACAAGCTGCGTCCTTCCCATTAACCATTATTCATCAACCATTTTAGACTAATTTTAAACTTATTTGAGTGTCCTCTGTGTATCAAAGGTGTGTAATGCTGTGCCAGGCACCACCTCATGAGCTCCTCTTGACAACATGGTAACCCAGTAGCTAAAAAAACAGTCCACAATTCTGCTGGTTTCTAGTTGTATGAGCTTGAACAGGACACTTAATTGCTCCATGCCTTAGTTTCTTCATCTGTTCAAAAGGGGATGCTAATAGTAACTACCTTATGGGATTGCTTTAAGATTTTAGGAGCATTCAATGAAAATACTGGAATTACTTACAACTGTGCCACAGCATATGATGTGCTGTGGAAGTGTTAGCTGTCATCATTTTTTTCTTATTCTCAATTTTGAGATGAAAGAACTGGGTTCAGGCTCAGAGAGGCTAAGTGATTTGCCCAAGGAAACACAGCCAGGACGTGATACAGACAGGACTTAAAACTAGGTCTGTCTTGCTTGGGATCTGATTCTCCTAAATCCTATGCATTGTATTTCTCTAAATAGCATTCAAGGCCCTCCTGGCAGAAAATTGAACCTCAGATCTGGCATGAGAGGCGAGGATACTCACCACTGCACTAAGGAGGTTCTCTTTCTGCTGTCTCAAATCTACCCGCTCACCAAGTCTCATTTCATACTCTATTTCCTTCCTGATCGATCACCAGCTCTCACTGATACATCTGAATTCCCACCGCCTCTTGCACCATTTGAATAATTTAGTAGAAAGAGACCTCTGGATCCAAATTGTCCTGAGTTCAAATCCCACCTCTACCAATGACAAGCTTCATGACTAGGCAGACTACTGAGCCTCAGTCTCCCATCCTATAAAATGGGTCTAAAGCTAACAAGTTAAAACAAAGGGTCCAGTACATAATAGGTGCTCATTAAATGGAATCTGTGATTGGTATTGTGCCTGCACCTATTTAGGGTCATTTCTCATTTGATATATGAATGTCATGGCTTCCCAAGCAGACCACGAATTCCCTCTGTCCCCATGACTCACTCACATAACACACACCATGAGGGGCACACACAGATGCTTAGTCAATGTTTCCCAATCATGAGTGGGGAACCAGAGCACCGAGGGTCAGCACTGACCGTGAGCTCCCCAGAAGCCATGATGATGGCCAGGTTCGCCAGTCGATTACAGCTGCAGACGGTGTACAGCTCTGAAGCTTCAAGGACCACACAGCCAGATGGTGTCCACCTACCGCTCCCCACGTCTGTGCTCCAGGAAACACAGATGGGCCTCTCAAACTTCTGCTTTGGCTGAAAATGCAAAGGCTCTTGGTCACCTGAGAGCCCCTCTTGAATGGACTCAATGTGATCACTTAAGAGTCATTTGGGACAAGAAGATGCAGGGATGTTCTGTAGGGAACGGGGGAAAATGCTGATATTTCAAAGTGCAGTGACGAAAAGCAATGTCTTGGATGCCAGACCTATCTCTTCCTCCGGCTTGGTCATAGCTAATGTAAATAAAGTCCACGTGTATGTTCTTGCGTCAATGTTACATCATCTGAACTAAATGTTACTCATTGAGGAAAGGAAGAACACCTCATAGAAAGAGAAGAGCTCTGCCCTGGCCTGCAGCTCGGTTGATTGGAGCATCATACTGCACACTAAAAGGTTTCGGGTTCGATTCCTGGTTGAGGCACATACCTAGGTTTTGGGTTTGATCCCTGGTCGGGGCATGTTATGGGAGGCAACTGATTGATATTCCTCTCTCACCTTGATCTCTCTCTCTCTCTTTCTCCCCCTTCCTCTTTCTCTAAAATCCTCAGGTGAAGATTTAGAAACAAAAAGAAGTAGAAGGGCTCATTCTTCGAGAATGGGCTGGCATTGCTAGTCATTGGGTTCCTATGAGAAATGAGAGTCAAGCCTGTCAATGGGTAGGTGGGGACCCAGTGAGGACCTCTTCACAAACCTCGATGTTCTCCAGGGTGTAGATGACTGGGTCAGAGAACCCATCTTTCTTCTCTCCCGTCATGATGCCCCCAATGATGCGAGAATTCATCTTCAGCTTCCTCTTGGAGTTGGTCAAGGGGGTCTGAGGGTCTTGGAAGAAGCTCTCATCGAGCACAGACTCCATACCCGCAAAGGAGACAAAAGCCACCCCAGTGGTTCCTGCAAGTTCCCCAAGGGCAAAAAAATAAAATAAAAAGGAATCGTTTGCTCAGTAGGTATCACAGATGGCCCGACACATGTATGCTTTAGTACCCTGTACATCGTCACTGGCCTGCTCTGAGGATTGACACACCAGTGGATTCCCAGGTGATTCTCAGCAGAACCATAAAAAGAAAATCCCGAGGACCTATCACCTGGAGAAATCTGGGCAACCTTCACAAAATAAATTTGAATTTGTACTTTTAGGAGACGGTTTGACTCAGCGGTGGGAACTAACGTCCCCTCCCACGTTTTTGGTTATTCTCTTTCAGTCTCTTGGGTGGTCTCAATGTTGATGGTCTCCAGGGATGTGTCCTAGGCTGCCCCTATGCCCTTCAGAGAGCAATACTAGTAGATCAGGGGGTGGCTGACAATGGCCAACAAGCCTATCGAGCCATTGCTTGGGCTTTGTTTTTCCTAAATAAAAGTTGTATTGCAACAGAGCCACATGCTTTTATTTACGTATTGTCTATGGATGCCTTTGCACTATGGCGGCAGAGATGAGTAATTGGGACAGAGATTGTAGTGCCCTCAACCCCTAGAACAATTACCAACCAGCCCTCTACAAGGAAAGCTTGCCAACACCGATACAAATTGGCACTGTCCCTGGAAGTACAGTAGGAGCCACATGTGTGATTTTAAATTTTCTAGTGGTGACATTTTAGGAAAGGGAAAAAACAAGCAAAATGAATTATAATAATTTTTAACGCACATGCCAAACAACATTTTGACATGCAATCAGTATAAACAACTATTAATGAGATCTTTCACATCCTTTTCTTTCTTTTTTTCACCACGCTTTTGGAATTGGCATTTATTTTACATTTACAGCTTTGCCACTTTTCAAGTGCTCAGTGACCAGATGTGGCCAGTAGCTGCTGCACTGGAGAGGGAAGCTCTCGATACTGCAGTCTCGTGAGAGTATCTATTTAATGTCTGATCTCCCTAGCAGATGGAAAGGTCCCTGAGGCCACAGACTGTTTCTACCTCCACCATCAGGAGTCCCTCACTGCCTGGCACAGGTCTTGGCACATAGGAGGTGATCCATATTTGCTGATTGAACCACTCAAACACCCTCCTTGACTCTCACGAGCAGGTCTGTACCTGTAGATTCAGATTCTTCGATTGTGGAACAGCCGATCTTCATCTCATCCCCTTTGGCTTTCAAGTTGAAGGTCACATTCTCCTCAGAGCATTCTTCCTTGATAACTTTGCTCTCAATATCTAAAAAGAGAAAGGGAAGCTTTGCATGACATCACCCAGAAAGTGGGTGGAGTTGGGTTTCAGACACAGGTTCGCATCCCTGGTTGCAAGCCAAGGAAAGAACAGAAAGGCCAGGTGGTCCTGGGCACGCACTACAGCCCCTTCATGAACAACAGGTGTGTGGGAGCAGCAACCGTGAGGAGCCCAGTCAGCTCTAGGAGCAAGCTCTCACATCGTAGGGGATGCATCGGGGAAAGACAGGCTGAAGTCAACAGTGAAGAAGACTACAGTGTTGAGACACTGCTGCTACTCCAAATTTAGACGGGTTTCCCAAAGCCAAAGAGAACAGGATGGGACTGGGATAAGCCCAGCCTGCGGACAAGGGCTCAGGTTCTGCAGTCAGATGACGTGAACTGGGAGGCCCCGCTCTGCTGCTCACCAGCCGTGTAAACCTGAGCAAGGTCTTAACCTCTCTGAACCTCAGGTTTCTCACCTGGACCATGGCCATAGGACTCTTCATGAAAACACAATACGTAATGGAACCAGAGGAACCCTTTAAAAATATAAGCAATGCCATGCCTGTTCCCAGACTCTCCAATTCTGCCTCTCCCCGCCCCCAGCTTACTTCAAATAAAATCCTGTGTCCCTACATTTATCTACAAAACCTGCCTCTCCCTTTTCTGACTCCTTCTCCTGCAGCTTTTACCGTCCTCTCCTCCACATCAGCCATGCTGGCCTTCTTAGCGCTCCCTGAACTCGCCAAGTAGTCCCACATTTGCTCTCTCTCCAAATATAGGGTGTCCCCAAAAATGTATACACACACTTTGAATAATTATAAAGGCAGTGTTGATTAAAATGTATTTCGTTTTCAAAAACTGAGCACCGGCAGTTAAAGTGTGCATACATTTTTAGGATGCCCCATATTTACGTGGCTCCCTTCCCTCAGGTCCCCACCCCAGTGAGACTTCCCCTAACCACACTCTGTAAGACAGCAACACTCACCCTTATCCTGACCCTCTCTAGCCTCCTTATCCTGGTGCATTTTTTCTCTATAGCACTAGTTCTATCTGGTATACAGATGTCTGTTTCTCTGACTCAACTCACTAAAATATAAGATTCATGAGGCCAGTCTTATTCACTACTGGTAGCAGTCCACCAAATACTCTATTTCCACATCTTGACCTCCCAGGCACCTATCAGGATAGAAAATCAGAAGGTTGTGTGACTGACCCTAGAACAAGTACCATGAGTGGGGTACTGCCATAAAAGGTCTACAGCACTCAGGATTCCCAAGGGGTCACAGATCACATATGTTCAGGGTGTATCAGTCAGGAGAGGATCAGTTAGGCCTCAGTAACAAACAACCCCAAATCTTAGTGGATTAAAAATAACAATAATTTCCCATCAGTGCGTTGACTTGGGATGGTGCTCTGTTTTGTCCTTACACTGAGACCTGCACAGATGGACAAACTGTGATCTGAAACATGACCTGTCGGTAGGGCAGAGGGAAAGAAAGCTCTGGAAGGTCTCACACTGGCAACTATTCCATTCACAATCCATTGATCAGGACTAGTCACAAAATCCCACCTACGTCCAAGCCAGGAAGGACCGTCCTACCAATTTGAACACAGCAAGTGACTATCCTCCCTTAACACCTGGCATAGAGCAGGCACTTTGCAAGTGCTTATTGAGTGAATTAATGACACACTCCAGACGCAGTGCCGGGCAACACACACACAGCGCCCAGCACTCAGTCTATGAGAAGTGTTGATACTATGATTAGAGCTGCTTTGCTATGAGTTCACAGGTTTGAGACAGTTGGGAACATGGCATATGGAGAATCACATCGCCGAAGTCGCTCCTCAAAACCAGCACCAGGTGTGACCTTGCCATGAAGGATATGTCCTACCCAAGCGCTCCGTCCGAACAGTCTGACTGCTGTTCGTTGAGGGTTTCAGAAAAGCTGCCAAAGCGGTGCTTTCCACACTCTCCAGTAAGACAGTGGCCAGCGTGGATGTCTGATCTTTGGTGAAGTTGGACCACGTGGATGTTTGTTCGAGCACAGAGGCAAAGCTCTCAGCCGTACTCTGCAAAGAAAGGGGTGTTTGCTTGCTTTTTCTTGTCCTCTCCCCTTCTCTGTCTGTCTCTCAGTCTCTCTGTTTTTCTGTGTGTCTCTTCTCTCTCTCATCCATGAAATAGCAACATCCCTCTCTCATCAAGAGAGTGTTTTCTAGCCCTAGCCTGTTTTGTTCAGTGGTTAGAGCATTGGCTGGTGGACTAAAGGGTCCCAGGTTCAATTCCAGTCAAGGGCACATACCTCAGTTACAGGCTTGATCCCCGGCCCAGTTGGGGCAAGTGGGAAGCAACCATTGATGTGTCTCTCACACGTGTATGTTTCTCTCTGACATTGATGTTTCTTTTTCTCTGTCTCTCCCCCTCTCTTTCATTCTCTCTAAAAATCAATGGGAAAATATCCTCATGTGAGGATTAACAAAAATAAAATAATTTTTAAAGAGTAATCCAATCCCCTATTTTTTTTAAAAAAATAGATGAGTGGATAAACAAGCTATGGCCCAGCCATTCAGGGGAATATTATTCAGCCATGAAAAAGAGTGAGGCACTGGCACTCATTGCAGCATGGATGGATCTTGAACACAGGATGCTCAGTGAGAGAAGCCAGACACAAAAGGCCACACAATGTGTGCTTCCATTTATGTGACATGTCCAGAGCAGGCACATCCACAGGGACAGGAAGTAGATGAGTGGTTGCTCGGTTGGGGGGGCAGGGTGGAATGAGGAGAGATGCTTATGCAGTTTCCTTTTGGATGGTAAGGATGTTCTAGATGTTCTAGAACTATAGTAGAACTATAGTGGTGATGTTTGCTCAACCATGTGAATGTGCTAAATGTCACTAATAGTTCCCCCCAAAAGGGCATGGAGCTATCGATAAACACAACATTAACAACTCTCAAAGGTACTGTGCTAAGTGAAAAAAGCCAGACGCAAAGGGCTCCTATGTGTGACCCCATTTACATGATGTTTTAAAAAGATAAAACTATAATGACAGAACAGATCAGGGATTTTTTTGAGCCCAGTGGTGGACAGAGAATGAGATTATAAAGGGGAAGCCCAAGGAAGTCTGGGGCTGAGGGTAGGGGTAGGGGGTGGGGGATTAGAAGTGTTCTGTGTTCTGATTGTAGTGGTACCTACACCCATCTACTCAGTTAATGATCAAACATGTAAAATTGTCCAGAAAAGGGCAATTCTGCTGTATGTTAACTTTTATTTCTTTGTTCTGTTTTTCACGCTATGTTAACTTTTCAAGCCTCACAACTTTCATAAATTAAATGTGAACTCACAGCTCAATTATAAAGAGGACTTTCTGCACCCCGGAGAGATTCAAACCATGAAACACAACGACAAAGGCGTCATTACCTTCAGAGAAACGGCAGTGGTTTTATTTGCACAGTTCTCATCCAGAACGCTGAAGGTGGCATTCATGAGTGCACAAAATGAAACCTGTGCAAAAGGGAAGAGCATTTGTGAGCACTGATCTGTCCTTCCCCCACGCATTCAAGGTACAGACTGGGCCACCACGTCCACTGCATGGGGTGGCCCTCGGTCCCTGAGGCGTCATGAGTCTCTAGAATCCTCAGGGAAATACAAACTCACCATATGATCCGAACTGGAGCCACAGCACTTTTCTCTTCCATGAATAAAACATCAGACACACATGAAAGCAGAACTATATAGTGGGGTGAAAATATGGGGAGATGTGTGAAAAAAATCAGTGGCTAAATGGAATATCACTCAGCCATAAAAAGGAGTGGAGCTCTGACACTCGCTACAACATGGATGGACCTTGAACACATGATGCTCAGAGAGAGAAGCCAGGCCCAAAAGGCCATACAGTGTGTGATTCCATGTATGTGACATGTCCAGCACAGGCACATCGATGGACATAGAAAGTAGGTTAGTGTTAGGGCTGAGGTTAGGGTGGAGGAAGGGACAAAGGGAGAGGTGGGAACTGCTGGTTTTGGCATAGCCTTTTCCCTGGTTTCACCAGAACTGCATCAGGCCGTCTGTCTTGTTCCCTTGTTACTAAATCATGACACCTGTTTACCTGGGACACAGATGGGCCCCTTATACTTAGATTTACTCTTTGGGGTGCAGACGCCCTTGAGTCTCCTTTTGAGTTACAGGGCAGACTTGATCTTGGCCCTGTTCAGTTTCAACAAACTTTGCCATGAATTCCCCACATCGGTCACCTTGCCCAATTACCAGACTAAAAAGGGAAAATAAAGGACCATCCTTTGGGGGCTGCTTGCAAAGGGTGATTGTTCCTACTAGCAGTGAATACAGCTCTGTGGGGCCCTCAAACACCTGGCCACCGAGAGCCTGGCTCATTCTCACTTTCTGCAACAAACCTTGAGGCTCCTCAGTGGATTTCCAAGGATTGGCTTGTCCCGGTAGGTCTCCCTCACTTGGCTCGGGCCTCTGCATCCCACTGGTATCCAACCCATTAAAGAATGATCTCCCTGGGCCTGAGCCTGAAGATTAGGCCTTAGTGCCAGGGACTGGTGATATCTACTCATTTTTTCTCCTTCAGTCCAGGAGAGAGAAAGCCCATCAGCCCGTGACCCAAAACCTCACCATCCAAATTGAAAGGCTTTCTCGTGACTTTTGTTGAAATTTAGCCACAATATCTAGCAGTTCAACTAGTGAGTGTTCTCTGATTGTGAAGCATTTTCTGGCCCATTGTGGTAAGGGCTTTTCTTACACAAGGGGCCAGACAACGCTCAGCAAGCCAGGGCTCCAGCCCAGCCAGCGTCTGCAGGGGTCCCCGTACTCACAAGGTGGCCACAAGCACCCAGCACGGGAGCCACCCCTCCCCACACAGAGGCCAAGGGCCAACCCAGGATGGCCCCCAGGAAGCTGCTTTCCCCTTTCCCATGGCCCCGGTCTCCTGGCTGGCTCGCCATTTCTTGGGAAATTTTCCTGGGGCCAAGAGGCTGACAACTCCAGCATGACGTCAGGAGTTTACCAGGGGAACTATGGACAGAAGCAACACCTGTGGGCGACAGCAAGCTGGCTGATCACAGCACAGAGAGGGGATGGAGTTTGATACATCAGCCTCCAAGAACAATAGTGGCTTCTAGCCAGTGGTTTGTGCTGGTTAAGGCCATTGAATCCAAAGCAGAAAACAACTTAATGGGCTCTCTTCTCTATGCAAGAACATTCCAGGATGAACTGGTGGTCAGCTTGTTTCATTAGATATCAACTGTCATGTTAAGTGCCGGGATTCGTTTTGCCTAACAATTGTACACTTTAAAATGGTTTAAATGTTGAATCTTATGTGTGTTTTTACCACAATTAAAAACAACAACAACAACAACAACAAAAAACGGTGGTCCAAAGTGAATGGGAATCCTAAATTAATGTCCAAGCTCGGATTTAAGGTAGTGACCTCAATCCCTGAAAATGCTTATGAAGGCTTGACCCACTACAATGACAGTGACTTCATTAGAGAGCCAGGACGTCCACATTCCTCTTTGGCTGGCCTGGGGGCTGTGTTACACTCATCTTCTGTCACACACATGCAGCTCCAACACCTTTACTGGTCGTGAGACCCCAACATCTTTTCTTCTTTTAATAAAAGAATTCCCAAGTTTTAAATAAGCAAGTGCCCTCCCTCCTAGACTTTCCTTTTGGCTCTGTGATCAAGTGACTAATGTCTGGCCAATGAGGTACAAGCAGAGGTGATACTGCATCATAGTCTTAAAGGGAAGGATAGTGCCTTTCACTTTCTGTTCTCCCCTGCCCACCAGCTGGAATGCAGACGTGATGGCAGGGGCTGCAGCAGCCATCTTGGACCACAGCGAGGGAGTCTTGTATTAATGATGGCAGACCGTTATGGAGCCATATCAGCTCTCAGCAGCTTTCACTCAGACTGTCATAAAGAAAGAAAGAAACTGCTGTCTGTTTTGGGGCACTGCTCTGCTCTTTTTATCTTTGTTAAAGGTGTAAACAATATCCTACTTAATTGACTCCCAGGAAAACTCGGTTGATTGGACTTCATCCCAGGCACCAAAAGGTTGCCAGCTTGATTCTCGGTCAAGGCACATGCCCAGGTTGTGGGCTCGATGCCCAGTGGGCGTGCAGAAGGCACCTGATCAGTGTTATGCTTCATATCCATGCTTGTCTCCCTCTCCCTCTCCCTTCCTCTCTTTCTAAGAATCAATTAAAAAATCTTAAAAAAACAAACAAAAATAAAAAACACCTTCAAAAATACTTACATCCTCAGGCTCCACTGTTGCTCCCACTTGGCATAGCAGGACCTGTTTATCGTTGGGGATCACATCTTCTTTACACTTGAAGGGAACTCCTAGGAATGAAACAAAAGCAACCAAATCAGACTTAACCACAGCAAGATATACTGAAGCAAGTCTGATTACGTCATGCCCTGCTGAAAGTCCATCCACTGCCATATTATACAACAGAGGAAACAAGCAAACTATGCACCACCATATCAGAGACTCTGAGATGTTTTATAAACCTCCAAAACCAACAAATCTAAGCAAGGCATTGTTTAGGAATATATACAAGGGAAGAAATCTTTATTTAAGTAGGGTAATTATGAACACCAAGTTCAAAGAGATTCCCTCTGGGGCAGAGACAGGGATGTGGAATGGGGAAGAAGCAAGGACATTGATGATATTCTACTTATGTTGACAAGGGCTTCAGACAGATTCATTTTATTACTGTACTTCATTGCTTACTTATATACATAAGTTACTTATATTTCTAACATTCCAAAGAATCCATCATTTAACATTTTTAAACCTCTTCTGGTTTCCCATTGTTCTTGGCAAAGAAGACTGCAAAACTGTTTGCACGGCTCACAATATCCTGCAGTATCTGACCTCCGCCCACCTTCTCAGATGCAGCTAATATCATTTCTCTTGCCCTTTCTCTGTGTTAGCCTCGGGGCCTTTGAGTGTGATCTTCACACTTCATCTGGATAATTCCTACTTTTCCTTCAAGCTTCAGCTGAAATGCTATTTTCCCCAAGCCTATTAAATATTCCCTTAATCATTCCAAAGTGTTCTAAGATTTTTCAATGGTCACATTCATCGTGGCCATTAAATAATTATTTATGTGCTCTCTGCTTTTTTCCCTAGACTATAAGCTACGTGAGGGCAAGTATCATGTCCACCGTGTCCAGGATTGAATTCTCAGTGTACGGGTCAGATTGATTCATTAACTAATTAATAGATGTTCCAAAAATAATGTATTGAATGAGGGAATTAATGAATGTGTAGTAAATGAATGAATGAATAAAGAGAGAACATGTGGATGAGGTGAAAGCAAGAAAAGGATCCAGAGGTTGGGCAGAGGGAGCAAGACACAGATTCCATTGCCAAGACACACAAGGAGGTGATTACGTTTGCAGCTGAAGTTGCCATATTTCCAGGAGCCTTCCGGATTGGGGCGGAAGCCCACAATGCAGCCACAGCTGTAGGAGCCCAGGGCATTGGTGCAGACAGAATTGGGGCCACATGGTGATGGATCTTGCACACACTCATCAATATCTGCAAAGAACTCGAGAATATCAAACAACCAAAGGAACAAGGAGATTAATTTTTGTCCAGGGATGTCCACGCAACCCTCCATTTACCTCCACATTCCACCTCTTGCTCTGTGAAGTTCAGCCGTCCATTGCTTGGTGCAAAGCCAGGGTGACAGGTACAAAAGTAGCTCCCAAGGGTATTGGTGCATGTTGCATTGAAAGGGCACATATCCAGGCACTCATCAATATCTGTGTAGTGGAGAAAGGGCGTGAAGCAGAGTTGGCCAACAATTCAACAAAAGTCATGCTTCCCATTCTGAAACATGAGTTGTCATTGAACTAATGGCAGCCCAAACAGGGACTACATTTCCCAGAATCCTCGGCATCTGGGTGGGACCATGTAGTAACCCACCCCAACATTCTTTTAACATTGTTTCTGTAAAAGATGACCTGTCAACTAACATATAATAGTTAAACAGCCTGTTTGCTTAAGAATTCTAGGAACTAACTTCAAAAGAAGCCAACCCCAACCTCCAGATCTTCCGGTTCTGGGAGATTTGCTGAGCTTCGATCAGTTATCTGTACAGACTGTGCTGACTTGCACGTAGTCCCGTCAATGGAGAACTCTGAACCCCCTACTTCCGATTTCTTTGTTCTGTTCTGGTTTTTTGTTTGTTTGTTTTGTTTTTGTAATTCCTCCTCTCTCCTTACAAAAACCACTGCCTGTGTCCAATTGTTAAGATGGTCTTTGCAACCTGAGTGCACCATCTTCTTGGGCTTCCAGCTCTTGAATAAACTACTTTCCTTTCACCAACCGTTGTCTCTTCATTACTGGCTTTCCAGTGGTAGGCAGCTGAACCTGGGTTGGGTGTCAGTGTGACCAGTCTTCACTTGTGGAATGTGAAAAGATATGACATTTGTCACTTCTGGGCCAATATGACCAAGAAGTGGGTGTGCCCTCTCTCTCTTGCCCCACCACTGGCTGGGACCAGGGATTCCAAGGTCCTAAGGGATAGAAAAACCAAGACATGTCAGGAGGTTGGACCCTTATTATCACCTTGTAGAGGAAGGCTGCCCATTGGCCCAGTATATCCGTATTGGATTGTTATGAGCATAAAAAATTTCTGTGTTAAGCTAGTGGTTCTCAGCTGGGGGAAATTTGCCTCCCCAGGGAACACTGGGCAATGTCTGGAGACATGTTTTATTGTCAAGACTGGGGGAGGGGGTGCTACTGGGATATAGTAGGTAGAAGCCAAATATCCTACCATGTACAGGACAGCCCCCCACACAAAGAACTATTGAACCCAAAAAGTCAATAGTGCAAAGGTTGAGAAACTCTATCCTAACAAATACAGAGTGGTGTCAGGTCACCATGGCAACACAGGGTTACCTCTCCCACTGAGGGTTTCTGAACCACAGAAGATATATGGAATTGAATGCCCTACAGAAAAGAATTAGGAGTCATCACAAAACATGAAGAATTGCCCTAACTGATTTGGTTCCATGATTGGAGCATCAGCCCTCAGACTGAAGGGTCAAAGTTTCTATTCCAGTCAAAGGCATGTGCCTCAGTTGCAGGCTCAATCCCTGTACCCAGTCTGGATGTGTGTGGGAGGCAACCAATTGATGTGTCTCACTCACATAGATGTTTTTCTCTCTCTTTCCCCCTCCCTTCCACTCTCTCTAAAATTCAATGGAAAAATATCCCAGGTGAGGATTAACAACAACAAAACAAAAAACAAACAAACAAAAAAAAACCAAGCAGCATCCACTAGTCACTTAAGCAGGTATGTGGCACACTGCACTGGACATTACCGTGGAGAACCGGGACAAGATGTCCTTATGATACAAACGTAGACTAATTTGGAGTCATCAAAGGCATGGAAGTGGCCCACAGCTGGAAAGCATGGGGAAGTGGTATTCCTCTTGGTGTTACAGAAAACATCTCTAACCAAAGAGTGAGCTTCCCATTTCCAGACACATTGAAGCCTTGACTAGGCAAGCTCTTGTCAAAAATAGCAGAGAGCGCCCTAACTGGTTTGGCTCAGTGGATAGAATGTCGCCTGTGGACTGAGGGGTCCCGGGTTCGATTCCGGTCAAGGGCATGTATCTGGGTTGCGGGCACATCCCCAGTGGGAGGTGTGCAGGAGGCAGCTGATGGATGTTTCTCTCTCATCAATGTTTCTAACTCTCCATCCCTTTCCCTTCCTCTCTGTAAAAAATCAATAAAACATATTTTTAAAATTCCTTTTGTTGAGACAGTGTGGGAATTTATGTTTTGTATGTGGAGCTGGACTCGTGCATGAATTTCAAAACTTTTGGGCCAAGAGAACCTTTGTTCCTGTGAAGTGAAACCTGAGTAGGTAAGACAAATGAAAGAGGTGATAGTGTGACGAAAAGTGGGGTGGAAGGCCATGGTTTGGCTTTCTTGCCCTTGATCGGGATTCTGAATAGGCTCCCAGGAGCCATTAGAGCTGTATTACCCTCTCTATGGCTCCTTTCGATTTTTATCACTCTACTGATATGCTTCTAAAAATGTCAGCATCTACTGCAGATCAATAAGAAGAAACAGACTAATTAAAAGAAGCATGATTTCCCCTGGGGGATGAGGAACATAAAATATGTTCTGCAGTGTGGCCAATACACTGAGGATGGCCTCCATTAACCCTTTCACTTCCTGTATGCAGTTGAAGTATTCCCTCCCAATGTTCCCCCAGAGGGATGGGTGTTTATTTCTCTTTCCTCTGAACCTAGGCTGGCCCCGACTGTGGCCAATAGAAAGTGCTAGACAACTGCAGAGCCCAGGCCTTATGAGAACTGGCATTTCTGCTTTCTGCCCCTTTGAATGTTCCTTCTTGGAGACCAGCTGCCATGCCATGAGGAAGCCTAAGCAGCCATGTGGAAAGGCCCACGATGAAAATTAGGGGCCCAACTAAGCTCCCAGCCAGAGACCAGCACCAACTACCCGCCACACAAATGAGGCCATTCCAGATCTGCCAGCCATCCTGGTACCCCAGAAAACCCATGTGGCCAACCTGTAACATCACGAGCAAGAACAAAGGGTTGTTGCTATATGCCATTGCGTTTCAGGGTCATTTGACAACCGTTGAGAAGTCCACCTCACGGCTGGGAGAATTACCTGTACATTTGAAAGCCTCTGGTTGCTTGGGGGTCCAAAACTCAGGCGAAATGAACCCAGGCAGGCAGGAGCAACTGTAGTCTCCTGGGATGTTGGTGCAGACAGTATTGGGACCACAAAGAGTCGAATTTCTGGAACATTCATCCACATCTAAGCAGAAAATTGGTCTAAGTCATAAAGATGAAGGAAGCTGAGGCTATAACAGCAGTACACAGCCCACCAGGGACAGAGCCAAGGGGATTCCCTGGCCCTGTCTCACCTTCTTACACACGTTTTCATTGCCATGGAGGGAAGCATTCAAATGCATGTCTATGAGCCACACAACCAGAGGCTCCCATGGTTCAGGGTAAAACCCCAACTCCTCCTTAGAACCAAGGAGACCCTGAGAACCTGCTCCCGGCTAAGCTCACCTCCCTCATCTTCTGCTTCTACTCCCTGTATAACGAGGGATCCAGATTCGTTGATGACCTGCAGGTTCATGAAGACTCTTCTCTCTCACCTGTGTCCCCTCAGAACTCAAACTCATCCACTCCTTCTTTCCCTGGTGAATGCCAGCCCCTCTCTAAGGGATCACTATATTATTAATAATAATAACAACTAAGATGTATCAGAGTGGAGGGTTGGAGGGCAGGACATCTTGGATGTGAACCTAGGCACAGTTCAGGTGCTGACCCTCCTAACTCCTGCCTATTTGACATTGGAAGAGTGACTCCACCACAATGGAGGCTCTGTTTTCTCATCTCAAAAATGAGTATAAAATATCACTTGGGAAGACCGAAGGAGGTCACATATAGAAGAGCTTAGGGCCTTGGCTGAGAGCCTGCCTCCAGGCCTTTGTACCTGCTGTTCCCTCCTCCTGGAACACCCTTCCCCAGACACCCAATATCTCACTCCCTCGGTGTCTTCAGATCTTTCTCAAATACCCACTTCTAATTGTGGTCTTTGCTCTAATAAAATTAGAAACCTTCTCCAGCACTATCTGTCTTCCCTGCCTTATTTGTCTTCATCTCCTTTAACTATTCCAGACACACAATAGATGTGTGCATTTATTTCTGTTACCTGTCTCCCTCCACATGAGATGATAAGTTACAGGAAAATAAATATTTTTGCCGGTGTTTTTCACCATTGTATCTACCATCCCTAGAATAGTGCCTCACATAAATAAAGTAGGTGCTCCAGAAGTATTTGTTGAATGGGTGCATAAGTGAATGAAAGAAAAAAATGAATGATGATTGGCTTTGTAGATGAGGGCTTTGAACTCTCTGAGATCCACCCTGATTCCTGCCCCACCACTGCTGTCTTTGCAAACAGGCTTGGACCTGAATCACCAAAAGACCCCTCCACCTACCTTCACACATTCCTCCTGGGCCATGGAAACTCCTGTTTCCACTGCTGGATTCAAATCCTGAGTTGCAGACACAAGAGTAGCTTCCAAAACTGTTGTGGCAGGTCGCATGCTCTGGGCAAGCTCTGGGATCGGCACATTCATCCACATCTAATGAGTGGAAATGAAAACCCAGATCAAGGCAAGTGAGGAATTGAGGACAGGAGATTGCAAGCAGGAGACCCCCTCTACATGTTCCTAACAGGTGGCACACAGTGCTGCTGCTCCCTAATACCCATGTTCCCCCTTCTTCCTCACATCCAGAGCAGTGAGATGCGCCTGGGGAGAATAAATGTTGGCCAACAGCATGTAAACAAAAGGGTGGCAAATAGTTTCAAAACATAACAATCATAGATTACAGAGGTGTTCATGGTCTTTCACTGCTCCCTGCACCTACACCCTGGGATGTGGGCTCTGCCACTCCTTTTTCTGTAAGATGTGGAGTTGTTCCCCCACCCCTGGATCTAGCTGGCCCAGTGACTTGCATTGGCCAATAGAATGCAGCGAAAGCAATGTGGTGCCAGTTCCAAACTTATACCTCTAGAGCCGTGGTTCTCAACCTGTGGGTCGCGACCCCTTTGGCAGTCAAACGACCCTTTCACAGGGGGCGCCTAAGACCATCCTGCATATCAAATATTTACATTACGATTCATAACAGTAGCAACATTACAATTATGAAATAGCAACGAAAATAATTTTATGGTTGGGTCACAACATGAGGAACTATATTTAAAGGGCCAGAAGGTTGAGAACCACTGCTATAGAGGGTTGTTGTTTCTGCTCATTCTTGGGGTTTCTGTCATATGAACAAACCCTAGGCTAGCCTAACGAAGAATAAAAGACAAAGTGGAAGAGAGATGGATGGCCCCAGATATGTGGACAGCCCAGCCAAGATCAGCAAAACTGACCCCCAGCTGACCGCAGACCCACGAACAACTCCAGTTGAGACCCAAAGAACTGGCCAGCAAAGCCCAACCTCAATTGCCAAGACATGGAACTGAGAGTTAAATAAATGGAGGTGGTTTTTAGCCACTGACTTTCAGCATCATCTGTTAGTCAGCAATAGCTAACTGCTACAAATGGACTGACTTCAAATATCTCTGGCTCCAAGGCAAGAGAATATAATGAGGTTTGAGCATGCCATGCAGTCACTCTCTCCAAATGAACATGGAGAATACAGACTCCCTGCCCCTTGGTGAGAATATTCTGACTGCAGTGTGGGGAACAGAATCAAAGAGCAAGACTGAGACTGCTGTAAACCATATGGTGTTTGGACCAAAGATGGGGAAGAATGGAGAGATTCCAAACCATTTACCAGGTCAGTCACCTGAGACTGATGACTGATTCAGTATGGAAGGAGACAGAGGATCAAGGGAAACTCTCAGGTCTTAATTTAAACACCTTTTAGGAGAAAGTTCTGAAGTTTGGGTCTCCCTACAACAGAGTGTCTCTGCCTTAGCACCACTGACATTTGGGACAGGATCATTCTTGTAGGGAGGTACGTGTGAACAAAACCAGCTCCATTTTTGCGTCCAGATCTCATTTCATTTTAAGTTTCATGCTGTGATTAACCTCACTGTCCTTAGCAAGCAGATCAAAGCCTTCTAGTTGATGAATATCTTTGTTCCTTAAACTGTAGCCACAAATATTTTTGTTAGTAATGGCCAGAATGCCATGGCAACCAAGACAAATATCACACTGGCCATCTGTCACAAGACCACAAGGAGGTATGGCCCCTGGCATTGCTGTACTGCATTCTTTGTCCCTTTCTCTTGTCAATCATTAGTGCCTGAGTTATACTATACAAAAGCACTGTAACAGGGGTCTGGAAGTGGGGAATAATCTGTGCGGACTGGCTGTTCTGATCTAATCTTCCCATAAGTAAGCAACCTGTAATAAATTCTGTCATACTCCATGGAGTTGCCTGCTTTGTTCTTCAGCCTGAAGTTAATTTCTCATTATGGTGGCCAGTGCACCATTGCCCACCATCAGATGATTTTTGATTGTGGGAAGCTGTCCTGTGCTTTGTAGTGTGCCTTACCCTCTAGATGACAATAGCACACACAATCCCACCATCACCACCAGTTGTGGCCATAAAAAATGTCTTTAGACATGGCCAATGTTCCCTGGGAGAAAGAGCACTTGAGAGCTTCCCATACTCTCAAGTACTTCCTTACCCCACTGCTTAATTCATCGTAAGATCTCAACAAGAGTTCAAATCCCAGTTCTTCCACTTTAATGACTGTGTGTCCTTGAGCAAGTGACTTCATCTCCCTGAACCTCCATTTCCTCAGTCTTACCATGAGGATCAGCAACCCTATCTCATAGGATCATCAAATGAAGTGATGCTTCGTTAAGTAGGTAAGTGAAGAAGAGCCGGTCCTCCATACCTTCACAGAGAGAGTTGTTAAAGATGAATCCATCTTGGCAGTGGCAACTGTAGCTTCCCAAAGAGTTGGCACACTCAGAACGCTCTGGGCAGACTCCACTGTCGAGGCATTCATCGATGTCTGCGGAGCAGCAGAGGAGAGTGAGCAGACAGAAGACTGGCTGTCCAAGGTTAAATACACATGTGCCCAACTCAGTGGTAGCTAGCCGCCAAAGACCCATGCAGAGCCCAGGAGCATTACCTGTGCAGGAGAAATGGCCGGGCTTTTCCAGGCTCCAGTTATCCCCAGTGGGAGAAGAGAAACCAGGCAAGCAGCTGCACTTGTACCTCCCCGGCAGGTTTTTGCAGACTGAGTTAGAACCACATTTTGAGGGACTTGAAGAACATTCATCTACATCTAGACAGAGAAAGAGCCAGAGTTACAAATCTGCCTCATCCTGTATAAAAAAACTGTATTTTCAAAGATGATTATAAAGTCTTCCATTCCTTATGCCCTTCATTTAGTGCGAATTTGGTACTCCTTTCATCAAGCAGCAGGTCTATGTTCCCTCCCCTTGAATCTGAGCATGCTTTCGACTATGGAGGAAGTGACACTCAAGGTTATAAAAAAAGCATGCATTGTTCTCTTGAGATACGCATTCTTAGAGCTCAGCCGCCATAATGTGAGGAAGCCCAACGAGTCATGAAAAAGCAGCCCGCGTGGAGAAGAACTAAGACCTCCAGCCCACAGGCCTGGTGGAGCAGCCAGCCAACAGCCAGCACCAACTTGTCAGCCATGTGAGTGGGCCCTCTTCAAAGTGGGTCCTCTAACTCCCACATGAGCCAACGCAACTGACACTGTGGCACAGAGACAAGCTGTCCTCACCAAACTCAACCCCAATTGTGGATTCATTCATGAACAAAATAAATGGTTGTTATTGTTTTAGGCACTAGGTTTGCAGTTGTCTATTACCCAGTCGAGAACACCTTGCAAAACCACCTCTAGGAACTTACTCATTGAGGCACCCATTGAATTGTGCAATTGTGGTACCATGGGGTGGCCCTGCTCTATCAAGCCACCCTGAACAAACACTTGCTGTGTACCTTCATGTAAATAAAACTTCGAGGCAAATCTCCTATAGCTCTCTCCTGGCAAATTGAACCTCTCCTAAAGAGAAATCTGGAACTCCACTGTCCGCCAAGATAAGATCACAGGGATATTCATCTCAGCTTTGCTTGAAGTTATAAAACTTGAGGAACAACCTAAGTGTCAATAACAGGATGATAAAATCTCGAGATGACATAAAGAATAACATGTTCCTTCATTTGACAAATATCTATTGATGCATTGTACTGGGGGTCACAGACATAGAGTGGACAAAATCCTGGCTGTAGTATCCATCACTTTCTAGATGAGGAATGTTCATTTCACCCCAAATTTAAAAACCAGGGCCCACCAGCACTACTGAGCTCACTGAATAACCCATGAACTATAACGCAAAGAAAGATGGTTGGGGCTCCCTGGGAGCTATAATGATAGAAATGATTTATTTTTTTCAGCCAACTACAGCCCACGGGTCAAATTCAGTCCACCACATCCACTTTGTGTGAACAAAGTTTTATTAGCACACAGTCACATCCATTCATTTATGTATCATCTACGGCTGCTTTTGCAATACAGCTGGAGCATTGAGTAGTCATGACAGAGATTGTAAGGCTTACCACCTCCAAAATATCTGGCCCCAGACAGAAAAAGTTTACAGACCCCTGATCCTATTCAAAGGCACAGACAGATCTTTATTGCCAAGAGGAGAATTGGGGTCTAAATATAAGAAATGCAGACAAAGAACTTAGCTCATTCTGAGAACTATTTGAGTTTATATTATTTATGTTAATAGTAGCTCTTGGAATTGTATATGTGCCTAGCACACTGCAAACATTATTGCATTTATTCTTCCCAACTATCCTTGGAGGTAAATGCTCTTAAATACTAGTACCTATTTTACAGATAGAAACATTGAAGCTTGGAGAGATTAAATTCATTTCCTTAATACCTCACAACTAGAGTGTGGCAAATAAGTAATGTGTGAAGAGACCGCCACTAGAGTCAGAAAGACCTGGGTTTGAATTTCAGTTCAACTGCATGACGCTACACAAGTCGTTTCAGCTCTTGGAGCCTTAATTTCCTCATCTTTCCAATGGAGACGCATCCCACTGCTATACTCGATTACATGGGGAAATTCACCTAAAGCCCTTTCACAGGGCCTGGCACTCAATAGGTGTTAGAAAATGTTATTATCTACATCGAGAGGCAGAAGAAGGGTCCCCAACATGAGATCAGTGGATATTGATAAATAGCATGTTCTTTATTTTTATTTATTATAATGTTAATCTCTAATCATTGACAATGTTAATGACCAG